TTTTATAAGTGCTTTTGAAAAAGCATGTCCAAATAGCCAATATCCTCAACGAAAAATTATGTGTAGTAAAATCCCAATTTACTGGGCCAACTTAACTCGATCCTATACATGCAAGTTCAGGTCTTTTGCCAACTTATTTGTTAACTTTGACCCTATTTTTTTTCTTCTCTTTTTCTCTCTATATTTTTCATCATATCATAGATCATATTTATCATTTCTCATCTGTATTTCTCTGAATATCTCTCTTCCTTAGGTCTCAATCCATCTTAAAATGGTGTGAACTAACAATACAATTATGGCTAGAGGCTTAAAGCTACATGTACAGAAGCAATGCCAAATATGGGTTGGAATAATTTGATTAAAAGAATCCAAGCAAATAAGTCAAAGGAAATGGGCCTTATTTGAACTCATTTGTTGAATTAAGTGAGTAACTCAGTGGGGCCTAAGCTATGTTTTGTCACAATTCATTGTCTTGTCTAAACCATTTCGTTTCATATTAAATGGGTCGTGCAGGCAAAATTTAAGTAAATGCTTGTCCTGGGCCCTGGTACTATTGTCGTCTCTGCACTATTTGACGGCTACCTTATTTTGGGCCTTTCTTCTTCGGTTTTAAAAATTAAAAAGTCATTAATACATCAATCGGAACTAAAATAAACTCTCAAATCAAATCAATTAGCAAGGGGACTTTTTATATAAGAAAAAATTAGCAAGGAGACTTGAAAAATAATAATAAAAAATAGGATTATTTTAGCTACATATTTTATTTCTAAATTTTGTTATTTAATTTTTAAATTTACACATTTAGTCATTCAATTTTTAATATTTTGTATATTGTTTCACTTAATTTAAGGATGTAAAAAATATCCTTATTCACGAGTATTTTTAGGAATAAAATCTGCGACGAGTAGAAAATAAATATTATAAATGAGTACTCCTAGATAACAAGTACATATATTTTTTATACCTGTATGTTAATGAAAAGGGTAGAAGTATCATAATGTCGGTACTCCCACAGATATTCCTACCCGCTAATATTCAATTCATTTAAGTTTGTATAAATTTGATTTGATTTGAATTTGTATGAATTTTATTTGATTTGATTTGAATTTGTATGAATTTGATTTGATTTGAATTTGTATTAATTTGATTTTATTTGAACTTTGTTTGAAATTTATAATAATTAAATATTATATTTTATTTGAATTCATGTACAATCAAAATATTTTATTATAATAATTATTTTTTGAAATTTAAACTTATATGATTGAATATTTAAAATTTAATTTTTAAATTCACTTATTATTATTAGTATAATTGTGAAGAATATTTGAATTTTAATTTTATAATCTTCAAACTTTTTTTATGCAGATTTTATTTGAATTTTAGTTATAATCTTCAAAAAAAATTATGCAAATTTTTATAACTTTTAAAAGAAAAAATTGTTACAAATAATTAAAATGTATAGTTAAAATATTTTGTTGAATATTTTAAGAATTTTTTTAGTAGATACCTATAGGTATTCGTGGATATTTATGAATATTAAAAAAAACATGTGGATACCCGTACATATATGGGGACGAGTACAAAGTGAAAATTCATTCGACATGAAAAGAAGCAAAAAGCTACTACATATTGATTGATCACTAACTAGTTAGTTATTTGTCTAATAATAATAATAGTATCATTCCTTGATCACTCACATTACATATTGATTGTTGATATGATATATTATATCTTTATATATATATATATATATCACATTATCAATTTACATAATCGATTAACAATATTAAGATATTAGTTAACAAGTGACAAAATATATAAAATTTTAACAATTGAAAAAAAAATGTATAAATTAAAATATTTGGTGAAATTGTAAAATATAAATAACAAAAAATATAATTAAATTATTAAACAAGAAAAATAAACTAAAAAAGAAAATAAGAATAAAAAACTAATTATTTTTTTAATAATCACATATTAATACGAAATGAATTACAAAATCTATTTTCCAACAAAGAATTAAAAGTTAGTATATTCCTTATTTTCATTCTAAGTGGCATTAAAAGTTAGTATATTACAATAGGTTTCCTTATTTTCATTCTAAATGTCTGACCATGGAGGCAAGGACCTATCTCGTGTAAGTAAATAGAATTTACACAATTTTTATCTATTAATCTAAAAATATTAAAATACCAATAACTTTTATCAAATAAAAACAGTATATGCTTGAGAGTATTGCTATTTATCATGGAAAAAAATCGGTAGGAATTTATCATTTCAATAATATATTTTTCTAAATTTGGAATTAATGTGACAATGAATATATATTTTTTTAAAATTTGATTGACTTTTTATAATTTTAAGAATTAATATGTAGATATTTTTAAAATTTAAAACAAAAAGGTCATTTAGTTGTAAGAAAATGAGGAAAGAAAAGGCAAAGAAATGATTTGAAAGAATATCAATCCAATTTGGTAGAAAAAGAAAGAAAGGTTATGTGGATGGGACCATTTTCATTTGGATGTGGAGATAGAAAGAAGTGGGCATCCATACCCATGGGTGTGTTGAGAAGATAAAAATAGAGATGGTCCCACCCTTCATAAAAAAATAAAATGATTGAAAACCAAGTCGGTGTTTCCTTCACGGTGGTAGCTTTGCTTTGGAATCAACAACGGACATGTCCCATGTCATTCCCTACTTTTTCTTTCTCGCGTGTCCCTACTCGTTTCAATTTTTTACACTTTCTCTAAAACATTATCTTCTTTAGGTATTAATAATTCATTAGAGTAGATGTATTAATATTCAATTATCTTTATACTTGGTGTTGGGTTGTGACCTTATAGTCTCTTTCACTAAAATTGTTTTGTAATCCCCATTCATGTGTTGTGGCCTTTTGCAACAAAATCAGGGGATTAATATTATAAGAATAAAACTATTGAGATAACAAATACAAGATAGTAACTTGATAAATTAGGTTAACAAGTATGTGACCACATAACATTTTTGTAGACTATAATTGGGTGGGAGGGAAAAAGGAATAAAGAGAAAGAGAATGGAGATAGGATTAGGAAAGATGGGAGAGGATAAGAATGCAAAGGGAGATTTGAGTGTTAATATGGATTGGGTTTGTGGGCACGTGAAGGAGTGGAATTCACGCACTGTGTTGCAAAATGGGAATGTTATGGTAGGAAAGAAGAAAAGGAGTAAATGTGAATTAGTTAAAGGAGAGAGAGAGTTTGCAAATTGCAGTGGATGATGGAGACAGCGCGCTTGTATTACATGTTCTACAGCTGTCTACCTCTTTCGTCTTTTTCACCTTCCCTTCCCTTTCTCCCATTTCACTTCCTCTTTACTTTTGACAAGTGGGAAAATAAATAATGTTATAGTATATTTTCAACTAAAATTAAAAAGGTTTAATTATTTTTATTTTTATAATTTTATAAATTTATTCTTTTAATTTTTATAATTAAAAATATTTAATTTTAATCCTTATATATTATTTTCTTTTGTTTCTTTTTAATCTTTATAAAATATATGAAATTAACTAAAAAGAAACATGAATAAATACTAAAATAAAATATTATTAATATAAAAACTAAAAGCTAAAATTTATAAAATTATATGGTTAAAAGAGTAATTAAATTTAAAAATAAAATAATTTTAGTTTAGTTTTAACTAGTATTTTAACTCGTGCAATAATATTTATTATATATAATTAAAATTTATAATAAATTATAGTTTGAAATATAAATTGTAACACTCAGGTCTAGTAGAATTTCATTAATCTGTTTTTAAATAGAGAGAGCTAGTGCAAGATAGTTTTTTTCTCATTTCTTCCTTTTTTCTTTTTTGGTTGAGATTTTCTTTTTCTCTTTCTTCCTTTCTTTAATTGACCGGAGTGGCTGTGTTGTGGAATAGAACTCAATGGAACTGTGTTGTGGAATAGAACTCAATGGAACTGTACGAAGTGTGTGGAGTTTCTCCTTCCCTTGTCTGCCTGACAGATTTTGATCCTCCAAAGAGGTAAGAAGAGCTTACTATTAATTCTTATTGCTTGGCTATTTTGGAAGCCATTCTTGCGTGGAGGAATGAGTTTGAGTTATGAATTTTGTAAGTTGAAGAGGAACACTCTTGAATGAGATTCTTGAGTAATTTGGGTCAAGATGAAATGTTGATGGTTGTATGTATTATTTTGAGTTGATTTTAAGTCAATTATGGTGAATATGTGTTATTTTGTGTTGCATGTGATTGAAGTTGCTGATTTTTGAGGTGTATTGGGTAAAAATTCAGGCTCTGGATTGTGTGGGAACTAATACATATTAGGTGCACCTTCAAGGCATCGGACGTGACTTTAAAGTGGAGTCTCTATCTCACTCACATTGGGCATAAGATTGGTGATGCTGGGTGTGAGGAGAAAGTCATCTCAAGTTGGAATCACGTCGAACATGGTCTGAATGACGCAAGGCGTAAGGAGAGAGACTCATTTCTACCTAGGTTCACATTATAAATAATGTTATAGTATATTTTCAACTAAAATTAAAAAGGTTTAATTATTTTTATTTTTATAATTTTATAAATTTATTCTTTTAATTTTTATAATTAAAAATATTTAATTTTAATCCTTATATATTATTTTCTTTTGTTTCTTTTTAATCTTTATAAAATATATGAAATTAACTAAAAAGAAACATGAATAAATACTAAAATAAAATATTATTAATATAAAAACTAAAAGCTAAAATTTATAAAATTATATGGTTAAAAGAGTAATTAAATTTAAAAATAAAATAATTTTAGTTTAGTTTTAACTAGTATTTTAACTCGTGCAATAATATTTATTATATATAATTAAAATTTATAATAAATTATAGTTTGAAATATAAATTGTAACACTCAGGTCTAGTAGAATTTCATTAATCTGTTTTTAAATAGAGAGAGCTAGTGCAAGATAGTTTTTTTCTCATTTCTTCCTTTTTTCTTTTTTGGTTGAGATTTTCTTTTTCTCTTTCTTCCTTTCTTTAATTGACCGGAGTGGCTGTGTTGTGGAATAGAACTCAATGGAACTGTGTTGTGGAATAGAACTCAATGGAACTGTACGAAGTGTGTGGAGTTTCTCCTTCCCTTGTCTGCCTGACAGATTTTGATCCTCCAAAGAGGTAAGAAGAGCTTACTATTAATTCTTATTGCTTGGCTATTTTGGAAGCCATTCTTGCGTGGAGGAATGAGTTTGAGTTATGAATTTTGTAAGTTGAAGAGGAACACTCTTGAATGAGATTCTTGAGTAATTTGGGTCAAGATGAAATGTTGATGGTTGTATGTATTATTTTGAGTTGATTTTAAGTCAATTATGGTGAATATGTGTTATTTTGTGTTGCATGTGATTGAAGTTGCTGATTTTTGAGGTGTATTGGGTAAAAATTCAGGCTCTGGATTGTGTGGGAACTAATACATATTAGGTGCACCTTCAAGGCATCGGACGTGACTTTAAAGTGGAGTCTCTATCTCACTCACATTGGGCATAAGATTGGTGATGCTGGGTGTGAGGAGAAAGTCATCTCAAGTTGGAATCACGTCGAACATGGTCTGAATGACGCAAGGCGTAAGGAGAGAGACTCATTTCTACCTAGGTTCACATTAGGCACTAATGGATGTGGCACCGGCTGTAAGTCAGGTAAAGGCTCTCTACTTGATTAAGACCGAGCATTGGTTTTGCCACACCAAACATGAGAGAGTGGAGTACTCTTTGCATCAATCACGTCGGGTGTGAGTGGTGCAATATTGGGCATGGATGAGACGTGGTTGTGAAGTTGTAGATATATGGTTGAGATACATCTTTTGATTAAGATACATAGATGCTAGAGGTGAATTATGTTATTTTAAAGTTGATCTTCCCTCTAGGGTCTATGTGGACTGATAAGGAGGTAATCGAACAATATCCTAGTTAAATGACTAATCACCTCTATTGTAGGAGATCTCCTTAGTTGACATGTATAACGATGCATTAATTATTTATATATATATATATAGGAGGGTTTAAACGACACCGGTGTAACTTTTACTAAGTGTTACACCGCTCAATAACTTTATATTAAATGTGAATTTTGAAAATTCAACCGTTAGATTGAATGTTCATATCTCTTAGATCATATATGTCAAATTTTATATTAATCTAAGATGATTTGATACTTCATTCTCATAAAACAAAATTGACGTAATATATACATTTCAAAATATACTAAAATATGAACACTTTGATTACCTTCAAGTTGTTGTTCAATTTTAACAAAATTTGACATATATGATCTAAGAGATATGAACTTTCAATCTAACGGTTGGATTTTCAAAATTCATATTTAATATAAAGTTATTAAGCGGTGTAACACTTAGTAAAAGTTACACCGGTGTC